CATAAATGTATATACCCTCTTCCCAACTAAAAGATCCTTAAAATTTTTCCCGTTACATCGGGGGTAGAGGGGGGTAAATACGGCAGTGTAGTGGCAGAATAAAAATCTCCGAATTAAGACTTTAATTCGGGTTTTGGATACATCCTTTTGCAACGTGAGTGACTGGGTTTAATGCCGGCTCATGTTCCCCTATAACTGAGCACTGTAGCACACACTACACAGACAGTGTTAAGTCTACACTTACAGTGTGTGTAAAGCCATGTTAAGGAAACCTGGCTGTCCACTTTCACAAACTAAAAGGTAGCATGTTCTCTGATTTATTTTCCTTTTATAAAGGGGAAGATGGGGGGGAGGGGGGGAGGAAGCAGCAGGCAACTACTGCTCCCTTACCAAGTGTCAAAGGAAAAGACACCACTTCAGGCAAAGGTTCACCACAGGAAGAGGTGTGAACCTTTACAAAGACTTTCTTGACCTACTAAGTAAAAAAATGGCTCTTTCCAGTGGCAGGCTCAACAAGGGGTGGGGGGCACTTTCACCAAAGAGAAGCCATGAAAATACAGTAAAATTAGGTAACCCTGACAAGTAAAACCTCCAGAAAATGAAAATAAATTTGAGCACAAACAGCAAGCCAGTTGGAATTTTCAGAACTTTATTGGAATGTTTCAAAAAAATAAAAATAATTTAACTTGCATATGATTTCGTCATGAAATTATGGATGACAGGGCTGTATCTACTCTACATGATTCATACACATATTCCATAGGGTTGTACAAAATCATGTATGCTATGAGGCATCAGCTAGGTAAATGACATTTGACTCTGCTGTGTAATAAAAGCAACAAAACTTATGCATCATTATTTTATCAATACCAATTAAAATATTACTGCTCAAAATAGGGAGCCGAACATTTTTATATAATCGCTACCAAGGAGTTGATGTTGTGAGCAAAACCACCATGATCCAAGGATTTGCTCTTGGAACCATCACTAACTAAGTGGATAGCACCATTTCCATTTCCTGCCCTGTGTAAGACACTGCTCCTCTGCCTGGTTCCAGAATCGCCTAAGTCAGGATTCACACCTTTATCTCTCCAGTATCTTCTGTTTTGTTTTGTTTTTTGGAATAGGGTTTCTTTGTAGCTTTGGAGGCTGTCCTCGCAATCTCTCTATAAACCAGGCTGGCCTCAAACTTACAGAGATCCGCCTGCATCTGCCTCCTGAATGCTGGGATTAAAGGCATGCGCCACCACCGGCCGGCACCCAGTATCTTAAAAATTAAGTTGTCTTTCATTTTGTTTCAGGCTTTTATTTGAATTCTGAACAGGAATCTATCTTTACCAGGAAAAAATATATAGTTTTAATCTTGAGAAAAGGTACCTTGCAGTTTTTCAAAGGCAACATTATCATCACTAACAACAACAAAGGAGCAAATAAAAACTTCAGATTCTGAAATCTGAGTTCAAGCTAGGTTTGCAATGAAGCATTAAGTAATGTTCCCTACCTGCTATGGTTGGTCAAGGCTCATTCACTAGCTCTGGCTATATTAGTAGCTGTATTTCAGTCGCGTTTTAATCTAATTCTTTTATTATATATGTGTGTGTGTATGTGAGTGTGTGTGTGTGAATATATAATTATTATATGTGTGTGTGTGAAGCTGCAGAAGATGGATGGATCCCTCTCGAATAAGTGTTATAAGCAGATGTGAGTCACTCAGTTTGACGCGTGAGCTCAAGTTTGGGTAACAGAACCCAAACTCGGGGCCTCTGCCACTCTTAACCAATCCATCTCTCGAGCCCCTTCTCTCCTTTCTGAGGATTCAGTTTTACTCTAATTGTGTGTGTGTGTATGAGTGTGAGTGTGAGTGTGTGAGAGTGTGAGTGTGAGTGTGTGAGAGAGAGTGTGTGTGTGTGTGTGTGTGTGTGTGTGTGTGTGTGTGTGTGTAATGGGAATGTGCAGTTGAGTGCAGTTGCCCCCAGAGGACACAAGAGGCCATTAGACCCTTCTGGAGCCAGAGTCACGGGCAGCTGTGGGCTGCCAGGTATAGGTGCTGGAACTCAGCAATGTATGTTCTCTTAACCACTGAGCCATCTCCAGCCCTTCAGTCAGCCACTTTTTGAAAATAATAGATGTCTAGTGACTAATCTCTAGTTGGATTATATATATCTGGTTTTCTTTTGTTTCGATTTTCCCAACAAACTTCCCAGGAAATCCCAGACTGCAGACAGCAGGAGTTTGAAAATCAGCAGTATATGCTGGCTAGCATTTTACCACACACAATATAATAAGCACTATGAAGACAAAGTTGTATTTCCAAAGATTAATGATTTCACTATATAAAATTTACAATGGCACCAAGATTGAAACTGTTGAGTTTTAGAGCAATGAAAAATTGTCATTGGCATAAATTTGCTTAAAACTCATTCAACACCTCAAATGCATTTCATTTAAATGTAACAAAGAATAGTCCTTATACGAGAAAGAAAACATGGTTTTAAAATCATATTCTATTTGGTTCATTATAATGTCTATCTTTGCTTCCAAGGGACAATAGCTACTTGAAATAAATTTTCTTTTGTGTGAAAGACAAGACAAAAATATTTTCTTCATGAACACCCTGCAACATTTGACGCTGCCAAAGAGATGCATAAATAAAAATAACATGCGAGGACTTTACTGGGAAGTACATACAAATAATCAAGTAGATAAAAACAATTACCCAATGCTCAATTTGATGGTTGCCTTTATGTTTTTGTTGGCAGTGTCAAAATGTGCTATGTTAAAACATAAAACTGTTTAAACTATGCTTTTCCTCAAAATAAAACAGATATTCGCTTCTAGCAATCCATGGCGTTAAGAAATAAGCATCAGTAAATCTAAGTTATCTGGTGATACACGGGACATTAAGAACACATAGTGAATCCAGCCAATCAGTACGGTGTGGTCAAGCAGGCAGGCTCCAAGCTTTGGAATCATGCCCGCCATACTCACTTAACTTGGGTCCTGTTATTGCCACCTGCTTGGTTTTCTGGCTGCTGAGTCAGTAACGTCCTGTGAAAGAGCCTTAGGGAAGTCACAGATTTCACACATAAACCCTTTCAACATCACTAGTGCTTAGAGCTAGTCAGAATCTTCATAACCCAATCTCTCTCTTCCCATTTCTCTCTGTAACAATGCTTGGTTTTTGTAGCCTCCGTAAGGTGTTTTGATACATAAAACTGAAATATAATCTGTGTTAATATGGAAGAATAAGAGCAGATTCTCAACATATCACTTATCAAAGAAAAAGCCCCATCTTAAAGTTCATTAAAACACGAGCACTGTGGAAAAGGAAGCTCACTGAAAAAAAAGATGAGTATAAAAGTTCAAAATCCCACCTTGTGGATTTTTAACAGAAACAGTGACATGTTGTTCTTTTATTTTTAAAAAATTCCACAGAAGAATATGGATGGACAAAGAGTAAATAAATCAAGGTTTTGTTTTCCTCCTAAAAAAGCAGTTCACTGTGTCTCGACAAGTAAAGAGGCCACTGCCAGCTGGAAATACTGTTATAGTCCACCGATTTTTCTGGATCTCAGAAAATGATTTAGGAGATTTCGAGAAGCTGGGACCACCCGGTGCTCATCATGAGGAGGTAGCATTATTTCATTGTCCGTAGTTAACACTGAGTAATCTCGCACTCACCACAGCTTAGCATCCTTATTTACAAGAACATCGAGATCAAAGCACTTATTAACTGTCATTGTTCTTTCCCATGTGGCTGCGTGAAAAAAAATCCATCATAAAAAATCTTTATGATGTTAAGAACTAAATCCGCAGCACTCGGGAGGCAAAGGCAGGTGGATCTCTGTGAGTTCAAGGCCAGGCTGGACCGATAGCCTCCAAAACAATACAGAGAAACCCTGTCTCGTAAAAAAAAAAAAAAAACTAAATCCGTCTTACGTCTAATTAGTCTCCCTTATTTTCACTTATCAAGTGAACAGCTCTGAATTTGATACCGTACTTCATTCTCAACCGTCAATAAAAGGTGTTCTTACGTAGTGCTAAATACGTCAGCTAGCTTTTAGCAATGACATGACAATTAGAGGAGCAATGTTTCCACTACAATGATGCACCCGGGCGTTAAATGAAGTATTTCAATGAATGCACGCGCTCACATATAAAATCAGCGAGGTTACAGCGCAACGAACCAGTGAGATTGTAGGTAGGAGATGTGAGTCCTGCAGCTGTTTCTGATTGTCTGGGAAAGACCTTACTTAGTTCTTTTCTTTTTCCCGTTCCCAGGTACATCCTGGATTCCTACTTTGCCTCATCATAATCCATATCTCCTTTGGAACGTCCCTTCCAATGAACTTCTCCCCCACACTCAGTAAATATACTCTTCTCCCCAACACTCAGTAAACATACTCTTCTCCCCAACACTCAGTAAATATACTCCTCTCCCCAACACTCAGTAAACATACTCTTCTCCCCAACACTCAGTAAATATACTCTTCTCCCCAACACTCAGTAAATATACTCTTCTCCCCAACACTCAGTAAACATACTCTTCTCCCCAACACTCAGTAAATATACTCTGTGTATTCAATGTAAAGTACGTTGTGTTCATTCCAACTGAAATCTAAAGTATCTGGATTCCTACTGTCTTAATTTTGAGAGTTTGATAGTACCGCATATCTATCCTTATCAAAGCTGCCTAGTTTAAGACACAAGAGGCTTGTACAACATTCAAGTAGGGACACAACAGTCAAAAGCTTCAAACGGTCGCTGAAACCTACACTTCTATTCTTCTGTTTCTCATACGAACTCATTCCAACACATCTGCTCTCGTGGCTCTAGACGACCACTGTGCTGATATCAGAGAAAACCCAAGTCAAGGCAAGTCAGTTTTCATGTCCACTAAACTGATCTATAAAATGACACATACACACATGCTGTTGATTACTCTACTTGAGAAAATGTTCTGGTATTTCCCGCTTTGCAGAATCCTAACAGATACATACCTATGTCATATGCCAGGAAATCGGCAGAAAAACATTTTGCACCGTTACTCAAGGAAGTGTCATTATGGGTATTTCCTCCAAAAATAAGCATAGCTCCATTGATTAGCACTGCTGAGTGAAGGTATCTGGCAAACCCACTTTCTTTCAGAATAGTCCTACAGAATAAAATTCAAACACGCATTACAAAGGATAGAGACTTCCCTGACTTCATAAATAAAGTATTAACTGTATATTGAAATTTTTCTGGGAATTATGAGGGGTAAATACATATATTTTAACCACTTATAAGTAACTTCTAAGGTCCAATATTTTAAAAGAATATTTATGGAATCTCAATATCCCAGGATGCTTTGAGGGAAGCGCCATATATATATAGAATTGTAAATACTAATACTTGATATATTGAACAATGTTTTACTTGTGAAGGTAGGGAAATCAGTCTACCACAAAGTACAGGACCAAGACACCATGGGGTTGTTTTCATGCAAAAACTAGTAAAGAGTTAAGCATATAGTAAATTTAGTCCAAATTACATTTATTAAAATGATAAAACTGATAAGGACCTCTTAGTGAGCCTTTTTGCTTAATTAAAATTTATTTACAAAAGTGTAGATAACTGTAAGTTAAAAAACCAATGAACTTCCATGAGATAAGCACTGATTACCAAATACCCAGGACCCAGAAACATTGCTATTTCTGTTTCAATGACCAGTTCTAATATACTTAGTATATGTGCATAGACTCAGGCACACACCAATACAATAAAATAAAATAAATATTTAAGAAAATAATACTGAAGAACCAAGTCGAAGGACTGATGACTCCTGATCACTCAACATTTAATATAATCTAGCGAACCATACAACCTGTTATGGAGCAAACAACAGACACATCAGCAGAATGAAATACAGAGCCCAAAGACAAACCAACACAAATATATCCAACTGATATTTGACAAAGAAGCAAAATTATTACATAATGAAAAGATTGGGGTTTCCGTAGTGTAGTCATTATCACGCTCACCTAAGACATAATGAAAAGAAAACATACCCAGAAAACACTACTAGAATAACTAAACATCATAAACAAAAGAGAGAAAAAGAATCGAGACCCAAGATTCTCTATTAAATGCTAACACCATAATGTGCTTGTCCTGCAAGTGTGAAGACAAAGCTCAGACCCCAAGAACCCACATAAAAGCCCACAGGCAGAGTGGGCTCCCCATCATTCCAATGCAGAGGCAGAGATGGGAATGTGGGATACACTAGCTAACTAAAATAGCCAAAATGGCAGGCTCCAGAGGATCCTGTCTCAATATATAATATGGTACACAACAGAGATCAATATGTGAAGCCAACCTCAGATCTCCACACTGCAAGCATAAACACATGTCTGTGAGTGCACGCACACACACACACACACACACACACACACACGCATATGCAACCACACATATGAACACACATGCAGGCACATATGCATACCACATACACACATTACACTGATAAAAAAGTAACCTAAAATAAATAATAGACACACATAAAGATAATGACAAACTCCTAGGAGATAACACAGGAGAAAAATCTAGGAACTGAGTTGGATGATGAGTTTTTAGAAGTACCACAAAACACAAATCATAAAAACAGATTGATGAGGCCTTACTTAATATCAATTTTTCTGCACAAGAAAAAATATTGCTGAGAATAAAAGCCCAGGCCACCAACTGTCATAAAAACATTTGCAACACAATACCTGACAAAATAATGTTTTCCAAATTATACAAAGAACCCTTAAAAAGGAACAGAAAATAAATTTGAGGAGTCAAATATATGAACAGACACCTTTCCAAGGAAGGCACGTGGATGTGAATAAAAATACACTTCCCTCTGTGTGACTAGGGGATGCACATCTAGATAATGTGAGACCCTCACTACACACCTATTAAAATGGCTGAAACTAAAAACGCTGGCATTACTAAAACCTGACTAGGATGCAGACTAATGAAAATTCCAATCTGCGATGCAAGGAGTAAAAAGTGGCAGTCACTTGGAAGACAACTTAGCAGCTTATTACACTGCTAAACAATTCTAGCCGGGCGTTGGTGGCACATGCCTTTAATTCCAGTACTCGGGAGGCAGAGGCGGGAGGATCTCTGTGAGTTCAAGGCCAGCCTAGTCTACAGAGCAAGTTCCAGGGACAGGCTCCAAAACAATACAGAGAAACCCTGTCTCGAAAAACCAAAAATTAAGAGAAAAAAGAAAGAAAAACAATTCTAGTGCACAACCAAGGAATTACTTAGTAATTACTGGTATTTATAAATACATCTTTGTATTTACTAGTGACCTGAAAACGTTGTTTACTGAAGCACCTGCATGCAGGTGTGTATAACAGTTTCATGTATGACTCACATAATTTGGAAGTCTTTGGGACGTTCTCCAGTATGTGAATGGATAAACAAGCTGTTTTATCATGCAATGGAATGCAATTCAGCAAGCAAATGTACAGAATACTACCCATGAAAAGACATGGTGGGACATAAAAATACATATTGTTATGTGAATAAAAGCCAAGCCACACACTATACAATTATAAGTTTATAACATTACAAAAAATAACAGAGAGAATATACTTTTACACCCACGGTGGAAGTCAGCATGAACACTTCAAGAGCAACCTGACAGCTCAGCTATGCCATGCCTGGACTCAGACTCACTGCAAGAGAAAAGAACAAGGAGGAATCTGGATACGCACAATGCAGCATTGTGCGGTCACACAGAAAATGAAATGTCATTTGCGGGGGAGGGGAGGACGCTCAACTTAAGTTTACTTAATTAACGTCACATTAAGCAAAATGAGCCACATTCAAAAAGACAGGCATCACACGTCTCTTTTTCACATGTAAAATCTAAAAATTACATGAAAGCAACAGTAAAGTTATTAGTGATGTGGAAGGGAGAGAAAAATGTGACACAGAGGGACAGACAGCAAACAGGGCCAAGTACACAGCACACGCGTGTGTGTGAAAGCTCACGAAACCCATCATTTACAGGACTAGTAGATCTTACTATTGAAGGGTATTTTACCGAGTTAATAATACTGTTATAATAAATTAATGAATAGTCAGTCCCAAAGATCAGTTCTTTAAGAAACTTACAAAGATGGAGCCAGGCAGAAATGATCTGGTTATAAATTCCACTGTTAAAATTCTATATGTAGGGCTGGAAGGATGGCTCAGCTGTTAAAAGCTAAGCTCACAACCAAAAAAATATAAAATTCTATATGTAAAAAGTCACCTTTAGTTCTCTCAAAGGCTATAGCTAAAAAGATACGCAGGAAAAAAAATTCTGATTTTATAAATTTGGTCTATAGCACTAAAAAGAATGCTCCCCACACAAGTTTATGTTATAGCATTAGCATCAAATAATACAAATAAATTCAAAAGAACAATGATCATCTCTCATATAGTAACAAAGATCTCTAAAGTTCCTCATCAAAATATTGGCAAGCCAAAAACCAATAGTAACATCTGAATAAAGTTGATCTAAGTTGAGTTCTACAATAAATCATGATAATTAGCCACATTACTTTGGGAGAAACATCAGATAACCAACTCTCAAAAGGATCTTGATACAAGCTGTTAGCAAACCAAGGGAGGGGGAAAGGTGTTTTTAACATAACTTTTTTAAAAACAGATGTTTTCCTCCACACATACTGTATTCTCATTTCTAGTCATTCCTCACCCCACTCCAAATCCTCTCATGTCTCCACCCCCCTCCAAAACCTGACCTCTTTTTCATTAACTATTGCTGCAAGCGTGTATACGTGTGCACACACACAACCTTTTGAGTTCACTTAGTATTGCATGTGGCTTTATGCCTTTAGGCTGGGCACTGGGGTTGGATAAGCTAACGGCGGCTATTCTTTGGAGAAGACAGCATCCTCCAAGCAGCCATTAATAACTGCCTATCATTCTTCATCTCCAGGTGGAGCCCTGGAAGATCCCTCATCCACGCTGGCATGTCAACTGATGTCACCACACAGGTCTTCTTTAGGAGATGGTACTTTTTAGATTTCCTGGCCATTGTCAGTGTCTCACAGCTAACACCCTGGTCCCCTAACTACTAAGCTTTCTGCCCCCTTTTCTGGGCTAAGGGTTACGATGTACATGCATCAGTCATGACCGGGCTTTACACAGGGGTTCTGTTCATTTTAATTAGCTGTAGGTTTCTGTAACGATCTCTGTGGTAGTTTGAATAAAAATGGCCCATATAGACTTAGAAATTTCAGTGCTTGGTCAACAGGCTCATATATTGTATTGCTTGCTTCCACCACGATTTGAAAGGATTAGGAGTGTCCTTGCTGGGAGAAGTGGGCTTTGAGGTTTCAAAAGCCCATACCACGTCCATTCTCCCTTGCCACTGTCTGTGGAACCAGATGTAGCAACTCTCTTCAGAACAAGAAACACTGGCTAAGATAGCTTCCATCTACTGAAAAAGAAGTTTCTTTGATGGGGGTTGAGAGCTATATTTATCTGTAGGCATAAGGATAGAGGTGTTTAGAATAGCTTGAAATTACAAGTTTAGGAAAATGGTGGTAGTAGGTTCTGCTGTGCGTTACATAATGTCACAGTGGGTTGTTGGCTAGCATTACAATACCAGGGATTAATCCCTTCCTATAGAGTGGGACTCAAAGTCAATTAGACATCTGTTGGTTACCCACAAGATACATGTGCCACTATTACGTTATCAGGGATATACTAGACAGCCTGGGGTCCATAGGCTTTATGACTGGGTAGGACTAGTGGCTACTGACTACCGAGTGCTTATTGCCTTGGCAACGCACAGAGAAACCTGAGACACGATGAGAGCTAGTCTTCAAAGAGGAGGCTTCCAGGTCAGTTCTAGCTCAAACTCTATGTCCTGGGTCTGAAGCTGTAGTATTGTCAGAGGCCATGAGCGTTACAGCAGGTGACAACTAGTGTTCAGACGTCAACCCGCCATAGGACTGACTCTCTAATTGATAGAGGTTAATCCTGCAGGACTGACTCTCTGATAGAGGTTAATCCTGCAGGACGACTCTTGGAAATCACTGCTCACTTTTGCTGAAGCAGCTTGGGGTCTCTCCAATACCTTCATTGTAGTGTACAATCTCACAT